CATCATCGTAATCTCTGAATAGTAGAATCATAGAATACCAGGTTGGAAAGGACCTCAAGGATCATCTGGTCCACCCTTTCTGGGCAAGAGCACAGTCTAAACAAGATGGCCCCAGCACCCTGTCCAGCTGCGTCTTGAAAGTGTCTGTCTGCCTTAAGAGCAGGAATGGGCCTCACTTTTTTCCTTTTCTGTGACCCAGTAATGCTTCAGGATGAAGCACAAGGATTACATGAGCACGTATGATGAGAATGTTCCTATTCTGAAATCTTTGGGAAGAGGAGGTAAAGCCACCAAGATGCAGCTGCAGCAGAAGAGGATGTGAAAGCATGGCAACTGCATAGCAAGGAGATGTGGTTTTCATCTCAGTTACACAGTGGGAAGCACTTCATTCAATAAGTTTTCTGTTCTCCTTTCTTAGAAACTTTTGAAACTACAGGCTTCTGGGGTAAAGGTGCTTGGAGAACACTCGTTGCTTACAAGTAAATAAAAACCAACTAAACGTAACTAAAAATTCCATCAATCTGGCTCTAAAAGTCCTACTTGGCTATTGTATTTTTCAGGTATTTGTAAGAGGATTTCACGCTTTCCAGTTTGTTCCTACTAAGGGGCATTAAAAAGGAGCAGCGCTTGGGAAGTGTAGCTTTCTCTGTGCAGACAGAGACTATTCCTAAGATGTTTTGAGAGGAGAGAAGTGCCTGAGTGGCAAGGAGTGATGCGTTTGGTCTTTCAGTCTCCTGCATGGAGTTGCAACAACACTGATGTCAAGAACCTTCTGACATTTCCTGAGGAATAGTTTGTCCTTACAAGCAGAACAAACCCAGTATTTTGTCTCTGTGTAAGACAGTAAAAAGATCAGAAGAAAAAAGCTTTCACAAATACGTATGGTGGTAATTTATGTACTTCCTAACAGACAGGGTGAGGAAGAGACAGCACTGACATTTAATGTGGACCGTGGCACCTGCTGCAACTGAGCACTGTAAAGCATTTTTTCCCCTGATCCTCAACACAAGGTGTTTCAGGAGACTTCTTTTCCTTTGTCATTTACTTAAAGAAATTCTCATCAGCTCCTGTGACTCATTTTCCCCCAAGAGGCTGGCTGTGCTGCCAACAAAAGAAGATTCAAAGATTAACAAACTAGCTGTCTCGCTTAGAGAAAATCCCACTGGTAGTGCTGCTATTGCTTTGTCTGAGGACGCTTACTTGAATGTCTGATAGATACAGTAATTGAGTTTTACTTTGGTTGTAGCCAGTTTTCACAAGCAGAGCGTATCCCTTTCCCCATGCACACCCGAGTGGTCTGTTGTACATTCTGGGTGGTCCTGCAGGGATTTCAGAGGCGTATATGAGAAGATTAACCTAGTACTCCCAAAAATCTCTTAGTACTATGTCATGGCCTAGTAATGAGCTGCAAAGCTAACCTGGTGCCATGGGGTACTGACGTAGTACTAGTTGGGACGCCAGTCGGTGAGCTTTTCTGAGAGGTCCACCTGCCTTCTGACTGTTGACCCCCTGCAAACATCCTGCATCCCTGCTCAACTCTTGTTTTCCACCCAGTCCTCTTCTGCTTTTGGGTGGCCTGGTTTTTGCTATGGAAAAAAAGGGAGCCAGGGGAGTACGGAACCTTCTGCTCTGGAAACCTGTTGCTATTCTTTTAGAGCTGCGCACCATTAGTCTGGTGAGCAGTGATGTGGGAGAAAAATGACAACAGTAATTTGGAAGCTGAGAGGCAACGGCATGCAGGCATTGGCAAGATGTAAGTATCTTTAACATGGATAAGGCTACAGCAAAATGAGTTCAGTGAAGCTGAAGGAGATGTCCCCAGTGGGAGGAGGAGTGGAATTGGGAAAATAGATGCTGTGCTGTGATTTTTATTTACTCTGTGAGGAAGCATGAAAAATGCTACACATAACAGATGCAAGAAGATGCCAAAAAGATAGTTATTTCCTGATGGATATGTTAAAAAAAAGTAAAGGTAGAAACAGATGAAGAGTAGAGAAACTCTACATCCTTACTTGGATGTAGGCCTTAGAAAATACTATCATAAGAGAGCATCAGAATGAAATTGAAGAAATTCCTTAGAACATTAAAGAACAAAATGCCATTTATCTAAAGTACAGCAGCAAGCTGTTTTGAATATGGTCTGTCATATGTTTGGAGTTGGTCTTAAGTTTTGATTTATACGGACCGAAATGGACTTAGGTTTTGATTTGTAATGTCAGTTCTAAGCCTGCTGGGGTAGTCCCTTGTCTTTCAAATGTACTCAGAGAAATATATCCTGTGCTAGCGACGTGGGTAGCCCTTAACTTTTGAACTCAGTCTTCTCCTCAGCCTCTAATACCTTAAGTGTAGTATAGAAAAAAACAAAGATGAGAACATAATGGTAACTGCTACATATATAAAGGATGGTGTACTTTTATTGGGTTTAGATAGCTATGTTTGAGTTATGGCCACTGGACTGATGGATAAGGATCAGCTGATTTTCTGCCTGACAGATGTTCTAGATTTGTCTCTGCACACTTTTTTAATCAAGTGCATAAATCAAAATTCATGTACATGAAAGCGTGTCAGACTGCGTCCTTCATCACCTTCCTGGGTTGTCTAGTGTTACGCAACGACGGGAGATTACATCGGGGAGAAAGAGATGAGCTGGAGAGGAAGGGAAGGGATTTGAAACAAGTGCACAAGGTGGGTAAGATGAAACAGTACTACAAAAGAGAGTAGTTTCATATAGCATGAGTCGCAGAGCAGATTGTCTCCGTTTAAAAAGTAACTATTTAGGGACCAAAACATCCATGGAGGAGAGAAAAGAGAAAAAAAACAAGTCCACAAGACAGGTTTGAGAAAGTCTTTGGTGTATTTTGACGTTAATGTCATTCTGTAGCTCTTTATGTGAACAGCAGTCAGCTCACGACAGTGTTATTGTCTCACCAACTAAATGGCTGAAATGAAATGGGCAGGAACGGCAGCAACACTGGTGTTTTGGCATTGGGAACAAATTTTAACAGCTCTACTAAGCAAAAAGAGATCCTGAGTATTTTCTGTTCTGAAGTGTAATTTACAGTCTCTTTACTTGCTCTGGTGAGCCTGTGGAGAAATATATTTAGGACACCTACAGTTAAGTAAATATGAACACCCACAAAAAGACACGCGACTGTGTCTATAAATATGGACTCATTCTCCTTACTTTGATATTTGTCAAGTGCTGACCTCACCCATTTTAATGAATACCTAGTATGCTATATCTAACCAAGAATGTTGATACACATACTTTATATATTTTCTCAAAGTTGCACTCTTTAATGTCCATGTATAGTTTTTATATTTTTGCTGCTTACGGAAAAGATTCATTTGGACCCGATCTGACTGTTGTCATGCAAGACAGGAACTTTCTGCTCAATCTCCAGGTCAGAACTTCCAGTTACTGACTTTGGTTAAAGAAGGTGGTTTACTTGCATGTTCAAGTCGTCTTCCAGACTTGCAGATTTTACTCATGCCTTTGTTTCTTGCCAAGAAGGATTCATGTCTTTTTTTGCAAAGCATTTAGAGGTACAAAGAAGATTAAGAATATTTATTCTTGCTGTTGGAGTGACACAGCTGAAAGGCACTTTGAGGGAGAAAAGGAAAATGTTCTTTGTGGTGGAAACGCCAGGTCTGCATCATTAATCAAATTTCTGCCTCTACCTTCCTGCACATCAGGGCAAGTCATGTTTGATCTCTACTTTCCTTGCGTTTTTCTGTCCATGAAATGAGAGCACTGATATTTCCCAACCTTAGCAGAATTTTAGAAAGGGGACTATGATGCTTTGTGTCTTACATGAACAACACTAAAATGATTGAGACTTCCCTTACCCAATTCTTATTCTAAATACAGCCAGTTGTCAACTGAAAGCTGACAGCCTTCCATCAGATTGGTCTCCAGCCCCATCTGTATCCCTTCCCACACAAGGCACTGACCATATTTACACAAAGAGACAACATTCTTGTTCCCACATTGCACACAGAACTGCATTCATATAGAGCAAGTAAATACTGCTTTTAATTGAAAATGTCATGTCTAATTATTAGAAATTATATTGTGATAATTATCAGAAATTACCATGTACAATTCTGATATGATGGTCTTTTGTGATCCTTAATAACACAGTTGCTAATGGCAGTTTTCACACGCTATCCCTGTGTGCCACTTGCAGCTAAGTATCGCCTCCTGCTGCTCCAGGTGTTCTCACTTAAGCTGGCGCCCTGGGGCGTGATCCTGCAGACACCTCTGTGCCTGATCCAAAGCCCATTTTGGTCAGCAGGAGTTTTCCCATTCAATTCAATGGGCTTTGAGACAGGGATCGAGGGAGCACAGCACCGTTGGCTCTATTATTTCCAGGATTCAATTATTTATTAGGTAGAAGTCACATGCACAAGGTGAGGTTAAACCAAGCTAACAAGGAGCAGAGGAAAACAAATGGTTTGATATCTGCAGGATAAAGAAACTTCATGAAGAGTTTTAGTTTGGTTTTTGAGAGGTCTTTTTTGTATAATTTGCTCCTCTGTGGAAGGAGTGTGTTCTAACAAGATTCTAAATAAGAGTCTAACCAAGACTGATAATAATGAAAACATGCTTTGCCTCATGGAGATGGTATGACAAAATAGTTTCGGTTCCTTTCCAAGCGGTATGGCAAAACCACTTAAAAAGAGGGATCAGGTCATAAAAAGATACACGAGTGGCTGGCAGAAAGGGCTGTTGCTGACCACAGGTTTCTTGTGCTAGCCTGATGTGCAAATGGCAGCATAAGGAAACGCACAGAGGTTCTTTTAAATTTTTCTGGGGAACAAATAAAGCTTAAGCACATGGTATTGAAATATGTGGCTTTTAATAACAAAAGACCCATTGGGCAAAGCCTATGGCTATTGTACTGCTGAGCAGGTGATTAGCATCCATCAGGGCTGGGCTATAGCTGTTCTTTTGTTTGTTCCATATGCAGATGTTGCTATGAGGAAAGGAGTCAGCTATGACTGATGTGGAGCCTGTGGTCACAGATTTTGCAGCATCAGGACGGGCAGGCCGCCGGAACGCCTTACCAGATATTCTGGGCTCTCCTGCTGGTGCTGGGACTTCAGACCTGCCACACAAACTGGCTGAGCTCTCCGTTTCAGAAGGTAATGGCTGCACATTCAAGAAACAGACATTTTTATGCAGTCGTCCTTTGCTTTCTCAAGACTTCCTCCATCATGCAGTTTTGATGTCAATATTTCTTTCTTCATTTAGGATTAAATTCAACCTACCAAAGCAGTTACCACTTGTAGCTCCTGATGAGACAAGTTAATTTTAACCCGGATGAGGTCTGCCACATTCACCCACAGATTCAGTGTTCAGCAGCCTGGGGAAAGGTGCTGGGAACTGAATTCCAGTTCCCCTTAGAAAGAACAAACACAGTTGCATTGCTGGGCAGCTTGGAAAACCATCACTCCAGCTATAAATTAGGGTCTGCTCCTGCACTGAGATAACTCAGCAGAAGACAGCAAGCCACACTATCCTAACTTAGACTTATACATCAAGAGTAGAGCTGATGGTCATTTACTCCTGCTAGTAGGCTTTCAACTTTGCTATCTGAGACCAGTGTCCTGTTTTGCCATGTTCTTTAATTTGATACAGTGCTCTGTTGATTTAGCACAGCTCTAATCAACACCAGCTTTACATTTGAGTTCTTTTTACTTTCATGGGGATTTCAGGGGGATTTTCAGATTCAGAAAAATCTGGTTTCTAATGCCTATGAAGTTAGAATTATAGGTTGGCCCTGAGCATGGGTTGCCCCTACTTTTTTAGGTTCTGATTTGGAAGTAAGTTTTTCCTCTCATGCCCATCACTGTCGCTCCTGTGACAAATGCCACCACAACTGGTGGTCCCATATCCAGGAGCAGTGATGGTGTGGGTGCAGCACAGGAGAGAAGGTGTACATAAAGGAAAAAAAGGGAAAGACAACAGGGTCAGATACCTTCAGGCTGCAGGGCAGTAGTGAAGGGAACTGGGAGAATCTGGAAGAGAGGCCTGGGAAAGACGGCAGGCACTGTGTCAGAGCACATTCAGAGTAAAGCTGGGAGCCCTGTGGGTCCAGTTAAAACTCCTTTGTTTCGAGGAGAGATTTTTCTCTAGAAATATGAAAAGTATGTCCCTACAGATTTTCTCCTTCTGATGTGTGCAACTGGAGCACTGGAAGTCCATTCCAAAGTACAGACAGTCACTTAACATTTAATGCTTTGGTTTTCAAATGTTACGGGTTTTTTTTATTCCAAATAGCTCTTCTGCCTGGCACTGTTCATGCACCATGACCAGGGGTCAGGCTCCAACAGGAGAGAACTGTTTTCCTTATCAAAGAGGAGGCAAATGGGAATTTATATTGTTATTAGTGTCAGGAACTGTGAAAGTGAAGTGACCAGTCCAACCCACTGAAGTATTCATTGCTACATTATGTGTAACTAACCTTTACATTGTTTAGAGCAGTGTACCTTGAGGGAGATCACCATGTTAAACAAAGCACGAAAGAACACAACAGCTGTAGATAAGTTCTTCGTGTTTGTTTCATTTTGGCCTCTGGAAGGTTCAGTGGTTAGAAAGAACATACTTTTTAAAGCATGCAAAATTTCTCTCTTAGATCTTTTTTTTTTTCCCCTGGATAAAAATAAACATGAAAGAGTGAAAGTCTTGTTAAAAGAAACGTTACAGCATAGCATAAAATAAGTACTTAGCCCTCCAGACAGAATAATCCTCCTCTCCTGGTGCCCATCCAATGCATTAAGAAGAAGAAGTGAAACACAGCTACATTAGTTTTAGCAAAATGTACTGATGCTTTCTTACAAATAGAAGGGCCAGCACTGCCAGGATTTGAAGCACAATTAAGAGCGTGGAATTATCCTTTGCTTTTGTCACTGACATACAGCTGTGCCAGAGCATGCCTGTTTGTGTTATCAGCAGTTTGCAGTAATGATAATAGGAAATGAATACAGGATGCAGCTAGGTCCACTCTGACTGCTTGGATGCTTTTTGGGGTTGGGAATTCCACAAGCATCGGATGGGAATTACAGCCTCATTGTGTTATGAGAAGTTAAACTTCTGTTGAGACAGCAAGCAAAACAGGGAGAATTCATTAAAATGGAAAGAAAGTTTGGAAGTTCAAATGTTGTGACAGGGAAACAGTTTGTTCTGACCTGGAAATGGCTTTCATTTCTTTAATAACTTATTGTTAAACAAGAAATTCCCAAAAAGAGATGCCTAGTAGAGCCCCAAACGTTTCACAAAGATGTTGGATAAATGAGAAAAGTGGAAAAGATGTAACGTGTGGCTATATAAAGTTATGTCCTATTTTTTTTGTCTACTTTGAAAGATGCAGTGAAGATTATGGGAAATGGTGAGGAGGACTCTCTCCATCTTGCTTCAAATTTAGCTAATGCTCATTGGATCATGCATTTCCTTTCTTTCTAAAATGCTGTTAGCTGCTGTCATAGTGAAAGGATGTGCTAATACCTTTTGTCTGGCTTAGAAGAGAAAAGAGACTTTGCTTTATTCTTTCTGAATATCCAAGCATCATAGCTTTGTGATATAAATTTCCATGTACTCTGCAAGCTGCACCAAATTAATGTTCTCATGAGATGGATGGGAGAGATTTTGACACCAGCTGTTAATCTTGAAGCCTAACTCTGAAATGAAGACCATCTGTATCCTGTCTGATCATTCTCTCATGGTGCCTAAGTTTTGGAGGGCTGAGACTTTCCACAGGTGGTCTGGTGGGAGGCCATACTGGAACCAAGTTAAACAGCTTATCAGTGTCACTGGTGACCCAAAGGTTGAAGAGGAGTCCGCAATAAGTTTGAGAGCAAAGAGGCTGTAATGGTCTCCCACATTTGGTAATCTGCGTTAGGGCACCATTCTGCCAGTAACCTTTACTGTTTGCTGAATTTTTTTCAGGTGACTGTGTATGATTATCTTGAAACACTCAGCAGCTTAGCACCTGTTGCACACCTAGGTGCTACCAACTATGAAATTAGATTTCCTCTGACAAGCTGTTTTCCTCTACCCTGTCTGCAAGACTCCACTAGTACTACGACATCCAACCCCCCACAGAAACAGCCAACAGAGGATGTGTCTCCCTTTCCTCAACACTGCTGTGCTACGTAACGCTGAAGGGTGTCAAAATCAGTCAGTTCTTAATTTACCAGTATAAAACTCCGAAGCCTCCAAACCTCTGAGCAGACTTACAACATCAAGCGGTTTCTGCCAAGAGCTTTAGCAGATGAACTGTGTACAGCAGTATATATTTCCTGTGGTATGTAGAGACCAAGATATATAACTCTTTTGGCTGTTTGTGGTATTTTATGGCAAGTCTCCAGGGCAAATAGCTGAAAATGCTCCCCTTAGATTATGACGGTACATGGAAGACGGTACAGCCAGATATGCTGAGCAGACCTCTCCTTGTCCCCAAAAGCTATGGGCTGTCTTAGATTTGGGTATACAAACTGTTCTGTTAGCACTGGTAATGCCACATGGGACTTGAAGGTAGTGTGAAAATGATCATGCTTTGCAAGGAAATCGAGGCCAGAGGAGTTCCTGTTCCTCAGTGAGAGAATTTGAGCATCAAAAGCGACATCATGGAACTCTTCATCTAATGACGACACACGCTGGGGGGTTTTTGCTTATATTAGTCATGTAAGCATTCAACTCTAACCTATGGAAGAGTGAACTTCCAAATCAGAGTAACAAACACATCTCCTTGTCTTGTGAAGACAGGGTGAACTCTTCTAGGTATTTCTTGGCAAAGAGGGTCAGCCAGATAACTGTCATGTTCGTGTACTGCAGTGTTATCTACCTGAAACCAAGCAATGCTCAGAGGAATGCAATATTTCAACTTTACTTTGGAAATTACTCAGAAAAAAAGCATAACGATAATAAAAAGTTATCTCCAATCTGTTTCTTAGAACCAAATGCACATTGATCAGCAAGTGCAAGGAGCACGCAAATCAACACCAATAGGCAATTACTTTTGGAAGATGCCTCTGCAAGTTTTTTTATCTTTTGACTTAATCTCTCTTTCTAAAGCACCCATGAGTGTGGTACTAAAGAGCCAATCCAAACAGAAGATGATGAGTGAACCCAAGTATTTGGCTGCATTAAAAAAAAGCTGTGAGAATGTGTGTGGTATAAATGTTTAATTCTGTCTTTTTTTAGATGAAGGAGCAGAGGGTGGAGAAGTGCCATCATCCAAAGCCTTGCTGGAAAGTCAAGAGGCGGAAGGAAAAAGCAATGATTCCTAACACCTAAGGACTGCTGGATTAATGAAACCCACCAACAGACTTTCCATGGAGTTTCCCTGTGTCACCCCTTCTGAAGTGTGGTAGCAACTTTAGCAGCACAGACAAGATTTTGCAACACACTTGTACCTAGATGACATTAATGTGGAACTACTGTTTTTTTCTACTGTCGTCCTTCAAAACCAGTGTTCTACACATCCAAATGGGAAGAGAAGTAAAGAATGTATCTCGTTTTGGGTTTTCTCATGGTTACAGTATTCATCCAAACTGGTCTTCTTTGACAGTTTCAATTAATATACCTAGCAGATGTACCACCAACTAACGATTGCTTCAAAATAAAAATCCTGTTTCTTAATTTCCCAAATTCTTTCTCTCTGACACAGAGGTGTATTCACTCTCCCCACCTAAAGATGATATCAAGTATATATTCGATTACAGGCATTATCTGCAATTTATCTCCTGAGATTTTTGTTTTCATTAGGCATAGGTAAATGGGTGTGAGAAATAAAAAAAGAAACATTTTTTTTCTTTCCTCCTCCTGACTCCAAAAGGTTTTGTAAACTACTTCAACACTGGTGTTTGTTTTCAAACTCTCTTTAAACTCTATTTGGTTATGGCAGATCATCTCAGTTCTCCCGCTCTTAGCAGTCTTGCCACTTCTGTCATTTCTGTTTTCAGGCTGAATATTGTAGCTGCTCAAGTGTATCTAAAATAAAGTAGCCATGTTTGTAAGTGATTAAAATTGTTTAATCTCACTGTGGAAATTAAATAGTTATCATCTTTTCTGTTTTCTGTTGATTTCTTGATGTTTCTCCTGTATGACAAGACTTAAACCCCCATAATACGTATTTATTTCATCTGGTTTTTGCTTTATTGTTTGCTGAGAATGAAGATGCTTCAATCATTGTAATTTTTACAAAGATTTTTAAGCAAAGGGTTTTCTCTGCTGAAAGGAATTGTTTTGTTACAGAGGTCATGCTCCTGAAAATACTTAGCGTTCGTTCCCTTATTGTAGGAAACCTAAGATTGCGGTACAGTTGTGCACCTTTACTGCAGCCTAGGGCAGCAGCCATTTATGTACTTCTTGAAACCTAACCAACACTGGCAATAGGATGCTTCTATTTGCCTACAGATTCTCTCTGCTGGGCTGTAGCCAGATGGAGGAAGCATCTGTGATGGGTATGTTCCACATTTGACCAGTATTCCATCGATAAAATATTAGTGTATATTGTAGCTGGCAGAGAGGTTGTAAGAGGCCTCTCTGCACACCTGCCATTCCTACTGTGCATTTACTCACGCACTGTCTTTTGGCGACCATTCAGTAAAGGATCAGTTTCATCCAACTGAACTGACACTTTGTTCCCTCCACTTACCTTAACAAGTGCAACATCCCAGAATTACTTTCAGGTTTGGAAAAGTAAAATAACTTACTCCACTGGAGCAAAACAGGTGGCTTAAGAAAGTCTGAGAGACTGAGCTAGCTGACACTGGAGGACCAGCGTCAAGTATATTTGGGGTACACACTCCTGTTCAGGGTTGCAGCCCCATCCTCCTATACCAGCCTCTTTTACAGCATCACAGTACATAAAATTGTTCGATTTTAAGGAGTTTCCATGATCCCATGGAAATCAAGTAGCTGAGTATTACTGAAACAGAATTCCTTATCTGCTTTAAGTGGAGCATATGCTGAAGTGCTCTTCTGGGTCATGGCCTACATTGAAATCTCTTCTTTCACTGTTGCAGCACTGGATATATTTAGATTCTTCTCTCACAGAATACAGACACTGAAATTTGGGTTACAGGAATAGATACTTTAAGTATTTTGTTAGCCTAAGATGCTTTGAAGTTTTTTACTATTAAAACAGCAATTATGAGTGAGCTGAATTTAGCAAATTATTCATGTGCTAAACTGTATAAAAACCATTCCGCAGCTATATACATGCGTGGAGTTAACTGCTCACAGACGTACAGCTTAAAACTAGTCAGAGTGCTCAACACTGGAAAATCGGTGCTTATTTTGTAGTTGAGCTGTATGAACCTGTCATTGAGAATATGCTGCGTAGAAAGGAGAATTTTAACAGGGAGAAACTGCATAAGAAGTAAAGACTAACAGGAGGATTTAAAATGCAACCCAGTTAATAGCAGGATGAACATTTTTGATCTATAGTATGTGGATCACATATTATACAGTCATCATTTGCCTGTGTGTTGCCTAGGTGCAGCTTAACCAAGTTACAGGTGCAGAAATAACTTCTCTGCCACATACATGTACAGTTTGTGTCTAAACAATTATTAGTCTAGGCTGCATGAGAGAGCTTTTTTGTAGTTAGTTCAGATATGGAGGAGGAGGAATGTCTAGTTATGCCCTGGATTTTGTCAAATAAACCTTTCGAGTTCTGAGCCAGCTGTGTATTTCTGACCAGTATAAACACAACCACAAACACTGGTTGATGTGGGCAACATTGTGCCATATAAACTTTGGTCCAGAAGAATTTATTAGTTGTGTATTATGCTTGACTCAGCCAGACAGGAGATAGCCCCTGTAGAGCTGTTTGGGGGTCTCTATGCCATACTGTCCCGTAGTCTGGGGTTTAAGCAGTTACTATCTTAAGCACAGCCAAAGTTGGGAAAGCTCTGGTTCATTTTCTTGTTGGTATCTTGATGTTGTTATCTTGAAGATAGGTAATAGCCCTACTAAACTTTGGCTGAGCCTGTGAAGAGCAAATTAAGTGCTTCTGAATGTTTCTCACTGAGCCAGTTTATCCAGTTTCAACCATTATCCAAGCTATACCTCCCTCCCATTAGCTCAGCTAATGGGTAACTGATGACAGTGCATTCTCTTAATCCGCAGGGTAACAAAGTTATGGCCCTGAATCAGCACAGTATTTTAAAACATGCTTAACTTTAAATGCAGACTAGTCGCACAGAAGTCAATAGAACTACTTAGTGCCTAAAATTAGGTACATACTTAATTACTTTGATAAATTATGGTGGCAAACTTCTATTAAGGCTAATCCGGTATTATAATGCATTAATCCCAATTTCCATTCCAGCAAGTGTGACACAGGTAATAGCATCTTTTTTCATCAGCTTACAGCACTATCCTGGGCTTTCATAGAGCAAAGAAAATAATTTCAGTACCAAGCAAAAGAGGTAACTTTGTTGTGTCCAAATTTTAGCACTTAATGAAGGAATTATTCATTCTTAGTCACTCTGCATATTAAAAAAAAAAAAAAAAGGCAGGGAATACCCTTGTATCTTCATTGTCCATATATAACACAATTTAGGTACTTTGAATATACAGAAAATTGGCCTCAATCTTTTCCAGATGTCATTAAGGAGGTAATTTTCTTTGGGTCAGCCCTTCATCAGAAGCCTCATGTAAGAGGTGGATGAACATGCTGAGGTGCATCTTTTGTTGCTATAAAACAGGAAAGTTCAATTTGTTATCTGGAAGGTAATAAAGGACTAAATAGGTTTTGAGGTAGGGGACTGATTATTAGAATGTTCTCATTTAAAGAGATTAAGAGAAGTAATTAAGCATTTTTTAAAATGAGGCTTATTTGCTACGATTCCTCTTACAGCTGTCTCCACCTGAGCCATGTACCATCATTCGGGTATAATACTGCAGAGGCTGAGCTTGGATGGATGAAATGAGTGACAAGGCACTTAGCAAGGTGGTATATTCTAAAAGAAATTTCCAAATCATTGATAGTACAGCAATGTACAGACCAGATCTAGTCACTGAAGACAAATATCGGTTTTATACTAACTAACTACAGTGTGAATTATATCTAACTCTAGTTTTAAGCCATGAGTTACTAATCATACAGAAAATTTCTCATGACTCAGAAAGTCCATTAACACAATTGCTTGGAGGCAAGGAGGCTAGTCAGTGAAACATCATGTATGTTAGCACTATCCAAGACATCGCATTTAGTTATATAGACCTACGATCTGACCCACAGTAGTCACTTCTCTGTTGTGCAGCTTTCATACAATGGTGATCGTACAAAATAATATAACAGCACTTGCATTAGTTAAAAATGACAACAGCAGCGGCTGGAAGAGGTTTAAACTACACTTTATCGTCAGTATTCCAAATATCCTTTATGTATCCCGCATACAAAGAGGAATACTTCAAGATTTAGCAAATTACTTAGGACTAGCTCATATTCCTCTCTTCTGTCTGCTGGTGCTCTATGTGTGATAAAGCCCATGAAAAGGAATTGAACAGAGATTTCTGCATGGATTTGTCCCACCGGTTTGGCACAGGCTGTATTTGCTGTGCTCAGCGAGCGTAAGGCCCGGGCCCACTGTGGTGCGTGTGGGTTCCCTAGGGTCCACACAGCACAGGCCAGTGGGGCTGAGCCCACTGAGGTCCCAGGGCACTTGCTCTGAAGTTGTTTGGGTAGAAATAGCACGGGCTTAAACTGTCCTGCCATCTAGTGGGATCCTCAGCCTGCCAGGTAGTTTGTGCAAATAAGTGGAGGGGGCCAGTTTAAGAGACCTCAAAACCAGCTGGGAGGCAGCTGCTTGAGAGCAAAAGTGCAAAGAGGGTGCAAGCTGGCCTGGTGAGAGGTAGACTGTCTCCAGCTAATCTGAGGCGTTCATTTCAAGGGTTTCACTAAGGGTCCAGTACCTTGGTGTCTCTGTATGTTCAGAAAGTTGGGCGATTGCAAGGAGGATACGTCTCGCGTTGCTGAGAACACTGCTCCCGACATTTTGGGAAAATAAAGCCAGCTGAAGCTTCCCCACTCCACAGGGCTGCCATTCGGAGGCGTGCGGCACTGCTTCCCACTGCCCCTTGTAGCTTACTTCCTAGCCCGGTCAGCAGGAGCACGTCGCCTCCGGTTCAGAGGCCCAGACCTCTCGGTGGAAACTCACTCATGCTGCCTGGGCAAAGGAAAGATGCTGGGCTTGGGCACTGAGAGGTGAACGAGCCAAAAGTGTTTTCAACCTGTAAACCATTTCATAAAACAGGTGTCTAATGTGGCTTGCAG